CACCTCAACTATGTCTTTCAACAAGACAACGCCTCCATTCATGTGAGCCGTGCAACGGATGAGTGGCTGCAATGCCAATAAATAAGCGTTCTGCCATGACCAGCCTGCAGTCCCGACCTCAGTCCGATGGAACATATCTGGGGCATAATAGTCAGAAAGGTTTATGCGAATAACCGTCAGTTCCAGAGCACAGAAGAGCTGAACCGGGCCATTATCAAAGCATAGAGAGCAATCGATGAGGTACTCTTCGAAACTTAGTTTCTAGTATGCCACGCAGGCTCTTTGATATTGCTCTTAAACAAGGAGGAGCTATAGATTATTAACTGTTGTACATATGCCATTAACGTTGATAAATAATTTACTTTCTCAGGGTGACCTTATAATTATGAAACGATGCAAAAGCCGACACTACATTTAAAAAATTCGTAAAAAATTTGAGGTGAAGGATATGGCGACCAAAATTTGAGTACGAAGGTACATTAAGACGAGGAATCTTCCAGTGTTTGCCAAAAAATCCCATTCCGGCTGCTTTCACCAGAATCGCAAAAATCTGGGGTGACCTTATAATTATGAAACGCACTGTATTGTGATAATAATTGCTTCTCAAGGTCTCTGTATCCTTCTTTCATGAGGACTGCTCACAATAACTTGTAAAAATATTGGTTCGCATATGTTTTCTACATTTATATCTGCTACACAAAGGCCGCTTTCAGACTTCGACGACCGTCCGTCCGTCCGTCCGACGCGTGCGTGCTGCGACGGCGGCCGCTAGAGTAGTGTTGACAGCACTGGCACGTGACCTAGTGCTGTCAACAACGGTCAGGCGCAGCCGTCGCAGCACGCACACGTCGGACGGACGGACGGACGGACGGTCGGATGAATTGTTGAGGTCTGAAAGCAGCCAAAAACGGGTCTCGAAATGATTTGAATGAAAATATTCCTTAGTCATAGTAGGCCTGCAAGGTTGTTAGCTAGTAATTTTAGTGAACTATTCTCGAACAACCATCAAGTTTGCAATACAAAATCCAACACTATTGCAGATATTGTTTAATATTCGAGCGGAACATAATCTGAATGCTTAAGGGCCCGTTACAATTCCACTTCTTGCTGAGCACTATTCATCGTTGCAATCACTGTATATAAAAGAATGGATGGAAAAGTTTTTGGATCTTGATATATTCTCTCAGTTATCTTCTCTTAAAAAATTATCGTTTAATGGTGAGTTACAAGTTTTACTTTATGCTTTTCTCTATTTATAGTACATCTTCCTATTGAGCGGTTAGGGGGCACCTATGGAAGGGGTGTGTGCACTTCTTCCCGAATCGACGCACCTGACCGCGCTCTGTTAAGGGAAAGTTTTGATTTCCCAGTGGAGGGATACCCACCACAAACTACTCATAGACGCCACGTAACCATTTCCACTTGCCTTGGGAACTCGGGAAGAAGTCCAGTTCATATAATATATCAGGAGCCATGAAAGACCCAAATTTAGAACTGTATTGCTCCTCTTACTTCTCGGAATGATTCTCCCTTTTACTATAGATTGTTTATACCTGCTCCTCCCCACTTTATCACCTCTTTCTTGAACGATTCTTCTTTGGTATCCATACCACGGTCAAGTTAGTGGAAGATCCTTCAAACTTCAGAGGAATATGCGTTTTTCTGTGAGGTGGAGCGGAAGGGTGAGAGCAGTTGTTGGGTGCTTATTCGAAAAGTGGATAATGCTACAAAGAAGATTGTCGTAGTATTCACCAAGTGGCAGAACCCGAATGACCTGTCAAAGATCCTACTACTCAATTTTGAACATGATTTGCGAGGTTTATATGGACATGCTCAATCCTTTTATAGAAAGCAAAATAAAAGCCATCTCGCTCTCTGCGACTCTTTCATCGCTTTCTCATCTAAATCTTGATAACAATAGGTTCGCGGAGTGGGATCAGGTACTTAAATTTTTCTATTCTGAACATTTGTAATATACAGTCGTCTTTCGTTTTTTAGTTTTGTAATGTTACTCGAAAGATGCCAATGCTGAAGGAACTGTCACTGAATAATAATCAACTCACACGTCTTACACAGTGCATTGAGGACATGTCTGTTAATACGTTGTACTTACGTGGAAACAAGGTGAAATGTCGCAAACTCATCTTTGCCTAATATTGATTACAACAGACTTTCATTTCCAGATAGCGTCTGTCAGTAGTGTATTTAATGGAGACATCCGTAACGTCGACCTTTCCTGGAATTTACTTCGCTCCATAAGTGGAATTCACGACCATATGATAAGTTTAAGTGGGTTCTAGCGCTCTTTAATTTTTCGGTGAACGGCAGGGCTTATTTCGGTCAATTGCTTTGAATTTGTCACTTGAAGGACTAATTATGGCAAACGGAAAGCTTTGGAACATGCATGATTCTCACACACAAGACTGTTGATGTTCGTTTATGGATTTATGACTCTGACTGTCTTGATTGAGAGATTTAGAATCTCTTAGTCCTGAACATTATCTCGTCATACACAAACGCTACGCCTTGGAAGACGATGACCGGTCCTTTTTGCTCTAGAATACCGTTCATAGACCAAATTTTTCATTTTAAAATGTTGTGATTCATGAGAAATTAACAGTTTTGTTTTTGTTACTAGGTAGTAAGGAAGATTCCTAAGCGCGTATTGTGTGGGTTACAAATAGGGCTAGTCAGATGAGAATGAGCTAGCTCCTTTTCACTGTGCCGTTACACAGACATGTTTTATTTCAGATTTGATTTAAAAATAGAGGCCATAGCTTGAACCATTATATTCCCGAAGTGCTTTCAATATCGGTCATCGAATATGCGTTGAGCTTCCAAACTGGGTGTTGTTAGTGTTAAGATAAACATAGCTGGGCGGCAGAATGCATTTTCTTCAGCATCCAAGTAAATATGCTATGAAATGACTTTTCTCGCTCAAAGATTACCTATACTTGATAAAGAAATTTAATTTGAGTTTTTTTTTTCAGGCAGCATTCTCTACGCTTTATTTCCAGATATTTCGCACAACCCTTCAACTGAAGCGGAGTTTCCGCGGGTGCTTTCCTCACTGGAGCGTCTCGATTTATCTGGAACGAAATTCAGCATAGCTCCTCCATTGAATGCTCCTGCGCTCATCGAGCTTTTTATGGACTATTCCACCGTGGAAATGATAGATTTCAGAAAATGGGTTCTTCCGAATCTCAAGCGGTTAGTAGTCCAGAAGTAGTGATGTGTACTACCTTACATCGAAGGTTCTTTATTGCTTATATTTGTGTTTTCATTCTAGCTTATCGATGGCTGGTACACATAGGCTGAAGTTTGTGAGTGGTCAACTCCCTGATACAACGAAGGATTTTTTGTTGACAAATTCTGAAATCACAGCTTTCCCCCAGTCTTTCTTCAAAAGGTTGGTTGGCTGGTTTAGTGTAAACTTTTATTTTTTCCCATTATGGTCTACTCACCATTACGATTCCATCTTAGGTTTCTGTGCTGTACTGATACCCTTCATTCTGATATCATCTTACGTTTCAGTGTTTTGAGCTCATTCAACTTCATTAAGCTCGCCCCTTATTTGACCAAATTGTTTTCGTCATAGGCTTGGATAGTCATTTGTAAGAAATTGCAGAACTTCTTTACGTTTTCTGGACGTGAGTGGATCACATTTTGACTGTGACCCTTGCGTTATGCAGTGGGCCGTGCCTGTGGCTTCCATCTTGGGGAATCAAACTCAGTGTCCTCCTGTGTAGGTTTTTCAGGTTTATGTTCTTTTCCACAACCTTTGAGATTTTAAATGTCAAAATATCAACAGAAAGCTTGCTTTAAGGCCTCCTCTTACAAACTGTACTCTGGGAATATCGGATCGCGATCCAGAAATCGTCAGAGCAGAAATGGGGCAATCGGCACTTCTTACATGTACTTCCTATGGAACACCAGAGCCCATTATCGAGTGGTCAGTTTTAGTAGTTATTATTATTACAAAATTGCGAATTCCATTACCATTGCTTTCACAATTATTTAGTTTTCTAAATTATTTCTCTGCAGAAACCCGCTATATAAATACATAGTAACCTTTTCACGTCTGTAAGAATGCCCCTTACAAAGTTCTTTATCATTTTTTGTCCAAACTGTTTCGCACACTGCGTTGGATGCCGGATGGCGAAATGTCTGCAAATATGGAGCATAACTTCTTACTAAATTCTCAATTTTAACCTTTGAACTATTTGCTTTTTTGTTGTCAATCTTGCTTCGTCCAGCTAAACTTTACTTTGATAAAAGTAAGTTGAATAGTTTACGGAATGGTCTTGGGGTGTCGTTGAATAGTTTAATCGTGAACGATTTTACCGACCACCTAGTTTGTCAATAATTGCATTGTCGCGTTTTGGTGTAAATTACAAAACTGGCTGCTTTCATAGTCCGTCGTCCGGCCCGCGAGCGAACGGGGGCGGCGCTTGCCCCTTGTTTACAATTGTATCTTGGTCGATACCGTCGGACGAGTAGTTTCCGGGCGGACTCGCGCGCTCGCTCGCTCGTGGACTATGAAAGCAGCCACTCATAAGTGCAGGTGTTTCCTCCCTATTTTCCTATCTGTATTCGAAAAGTCAGAGGGGACGCACATTACTCAAAAATTTCTCACTTCTATTATCTTGTCCTTTCATTAAACAAGCTTCACGGCTATTTTAGGTGGTTATATCGCCCTGAGACTTTTTTGGGAGCTTTCGATCCACAGTCCAGTGATCAAATCAACTCAACTCATGATTGGTAAGTCTTGTTACACTTTTTAGCCTAAAATCTCTGGTTTTTCATGACTAAGCTTCTGAATATGCTCTTAATATGAATATATCTGTAGTTATACATTCCTAGTTGTTCTGTACTGGGTGGCGGCGCTTTACTTCTTCACAATGTGAACCGGTCCATGGTAGAGAGATACGTCTGCATAGCAAGGCAAGGGTCGAATTTTGTGCACAGGATCGTGCATTTCAGGTAAGATTTCCGGTAGGGTTAATTGAAATTTGCGTGAACGTTTTCCCCGCTATCTATCCCTATTGATGATCGCTATTGATGATTTTGCATGATCACAGGCTCGACTATTCGAGTTGGTATTCGCTTGACCTCTTCAACAGTGTGTTTTGGGGAGGGATAGCGACGGCTGTGTTTGCCTGTTCCTTCTCCTTCCTCCTCAATATTACGTGGATCTTGACGAGAAAAAGTATCCTATGGTGGATCCAACGGTATATTTTCTGTTCCTTTTCTCTTTTCTCAATCGCTTTCATGCTGACAGCTATGATGGAATTCTTGGTTTCTGAAATATTTTGGAAGGAAAGCAATGCGCTTTTTTATCTGCTACTGGTCTAACTCATCCAGTCGTTCATAATTTCAGCGCTGAACGTCTTTCTCGTGTACGTAAAATGGTGGAAGCGATGGAGAAGTACCGTGTACGGCAAATGGAAAATTTGCAAGCGAAGTACACTCGACGAATGCAGATGGTTCGCGAGAATTATCATGCGCAAGTACGTTGTTATGATATTATGGTCGCTACGTATAGGGGGCATGAAACGCTGAGGTTTGTATCGCTTTTGAGTTAAGAAACTGGTGTTCACCGTAGGCGGCTAGGTTGAGGCTGTAAGGTTAGATTAGAAGGCAATTTAATACCGAATTGACCTCGATTTCAACTCCCGTGAAATCAGGAGTGGATAGAGATACATGTAGGTATACCCTCAGTATTGATTTTGATCTGATTCCCTTGTCACAGTGTGTGCGACTAATGTCATAGTTATGTGGAATGCAAGCAGCACCCTGACAACAATTGTCGCACATGACTACCCCTATGAGTTGGGTGATCTAAACCGGGTGTCTTGGTTCAGCCCTTCCATTCGGTAATCTCTTGTTTCCTAGACTTTCGCTTTAAGGTCGAACAACTTCGCCTGTCGTACAGTTCGCAAGCGGAGAAGTTCCGTGACTATAGAGCTGCGCAAATGGAGCACATGTCTTCCCATTTGGAAAACATCAGAGACAACTACAATCAACAAATGCAACGTGTTAGAGAGTACGGATCACGGCGAGCAGAACAGTTGTGGGAAAGCTACGAGCGTCAGGTCCTGCTTTTTTTTGTAATTTTACCCCATATTCTTATCCTGGTTGTAAGAGGTAGTCACTGGAAGGAATGTAGGGGAATTCTCGTGACTGCATTGGGATGCTTAGCCATAAGAAGTTATCATTGATCTCCTCACCTTAATTATGTTGNCAACATAATTAAGGTGAGGAGATCAATGATAACTTCTTATGGCTAAGCATCCCCAATGCAGTGACGGGAATTCCGTGGGTTTGTCTTGGTTTTAATTTAGGATGAGACTCCGATCTCAGCTATAGCAACGAAGGGTTTTTTTTTTCAGGTAAATCGTGTGAAGGCGTTCAGTCTACAGCATCGTTTAAAGATGATGAGACAGTACAAAGTGAAGCAAAGGTACCTGAATAGACTGCTGGAGTCATTCCAAGACCCCGCTGTTAGCCCTGAAGCGCTGCGTCAACAAGTAAAGAGATCATCAAGTTTTTTTCGCACTTGTTTCACATCTTTTCTAACATTTCCTTTATAGAGTTAAGTTTTTGCAGCCCATTCTGAAATGTTGTAGGAGCAAGAAGTACGAGCGGCACTGGAAATGGCTGTTCCTCCTGTGTCTCCAGAAACTCATTCATTGCCAATATCGCGGACCTCATCTTTTTACTCTCTTCCAGAGTATGTCATTGATGATGAGGGAATACTAAGACCGAGCCCGATTATTGGCAGGTGGGCCTTTTGTTTTTTATGACAGCCTTACACAATGCTCAAGAATTTTCTTTGTCTGTTTTACATGATTTTTGACTTTTGAAATTTTCCATTAAATTCCTTATTGTGTGATTATGTGAGTTATCGCATCTAACTCTGCCAGTATAGAGAGAACGAAAACGTTTAATACTTCAATACAATTATTACTGCTGGCCATATACATCATTTGAATGACAAGGGGGTCAATGTCTCATTACCTTTCAATTCCACTTTGGTCTAAAGATTTTCGATGAATTTGTTCACTTATAAGTAACTTTCCCAAGGCCTTCAGTCTTGTTGAGGCCACCGGTTTCCCAGAGTGGACATCATCTTCAAAAAATATTTGTGGGTATACAAAAGCTGGTTTTCTAGCTCATTTTTTAGGCACACGTCGAATAGCGTTCGAACTGGGAACAACGAGAATCGCAATTCGACGGGCGCGTCAATTTTTAATGCAAATGAAAGCATCGAAAGCAAACCGTCGGTCCCTGAGGTCAACAATCTCAAAATAAAACCGCTAGGCAGCGAGAATGTCGTCGTCCATAACAGTTCGTCAGGCAGTGAAAATCTTACCACAGAGAACAAACCGTCAAGCAGCGAGAGCAAAAAGGATGTTCTCGATTGAACGTTGTTCATTGTGGTGTTTAGTCGTATGTACTTCTACCTCTGTTTCTACTTTCTCACTGGTCTTGCATCGTCCTCTTTACTGATCGTGGCTTTCAAGGTAACCATATGAGTATATATAGCGGTGATGGTATCGTGTTGTGATTTCCTATATGATTTTGCATATCGATAGTTTTAGCCTACAATGGTTGACAATACATCATTCGCTTGATAGGGGACGCTATCTGAACTATGATCTGGGATTTGCCAGGGTGCCAACAGGAAGGTGCTAAAATTAGAATGACTTATTCCCCGTAATTCAGGACCGTGAATACACAATCAATCATACTGTGAGCGTTCGTTATAGGTGATCGAATGCATGTAATGAATTTCACGGTTCAAGACTTGTAGATATTAGATAAGTTTTGCGTAGGTAGTGCAAGGGAGTGCGAAATATCGCTGATAACGTGTGTTTGTTCAAGCTATTGATGGTTCACGGTTTCATGAGGCAGCTGTTTTTTCATCGGTGACCGGCCAAGAAAAACTTTGTTTGAATGCCGACCCTTCCTACTTCCTCACAATGGCGTTGAGACGGTGGCAAAGCGGCTGGCTGCCGTCTTCACAGAGGCGCCAACAGAAGTAAAACAATGAATCGGCGTCGGCTGATCATATGCATGCTGTCTTCGTGTTTCTGCTTGCTTAGCAAACAAACGACACGTATAGTATGGTGGTTCTGTGGCGCAGGCGCCATTTTTGCACCAACTTTTCGCGAAAAACAAAGTTTTCTACTCACTCTCCCTTCTTGACTACTTAAAATCTCTCATATATTCTTAATGTCTACGGTTTTTTGCTTGACGAGGTAGAATTGTAATCTATTTGATAGAACTATTAGATGTCTCCCTTTCGTAAACTGGACTAGTCCTCATGTTTTAGTTCATATCAATTTTCGAATTATTTCATTTATTTATTTTCGCGTTGAATCATTTGAACGCCGAAAAGTGTTCTCGTGAACAGACGCTGGTGAAATCCAAAGTTTTCATGATGAGCTGTGCTATTGCAATGGTGGAACTACTGATTTTCTTGTTTGTGAATTACCTTTGACTTAACTTTGTTAAAGAATTAACAAACGTGACTCTTTCCTCGTGTCTTCTTTCAAGTAGACTTGTATATGATATAGTGTCAGAAAGTGTAAACAGTGATAACAATGAATGTTTTAATAACTTCCTTTACAAAACCTTTTTTGAAGACATTATACTGCCTTGATTTTGGGAAACAGGAAACGCCCGTGGCACGTGGCTAGTTGTTCGGATGCTGTACATAGGAGTCACAAATGTTTCTTTTCACTTGATTTACGTCAGCCTCCCATTCGATGCCACTACGGGTAAGGTCTCGATGCGTGTGAGCTTCCTGGCGGTGGGTACAATGGTCTGGTTGTATGTGAAAATTGCTTAAAATGGTATGAGGATGGGGTTATGGTCCGGTGCCGGTGGAAGGGCTAGAAAAAGATTGACCAAAACTTGTTTCTGTAGTAGCTCTAAGCTCATCAATGTGAAAAACTCGATCAATTTGTTTAGGAGGCGCTTTCGTATGTTGATTATGTCAAATTCAGCAGCATCGCCTACCTTTCCCTGGAAGAACTCATCGAATCATCTATTTCATGTTCTTCTTTTTTTTCTCAGAGGCAGCTGCGGAATTTTGAGCTAAAGAAAAGTTGTGCACCAATGTACCATTGCGGTCTAAAAAAGACGGCTAGGCGGCCTCCTTGCGTTTGCGTCGGTTGTATTTCACCATTCTATGGGGTCACCTTAGGATCAGGGTCCTCTTCCAGAATTTTGATGATTGCATTGGTGAAAGTGTGGCATTGTCGGGAAAGTAGGGCCAACCGGACCCAGTGGGACTAACAGGGCGGATTTGAACAACTTTAGAGAAAGAGAATTGCAAACCCAAAAGGGTGTAGTATCAAATTGATGGCTCCACTACTTGAAGCAGGCTTTCTTTGGTTTTCTTCTGGTCGGCTTGAGTATTCCCATGAAGGGGACCCCACCCCCCACCCCACCCTTTGAGTACGTTTGTGTCCCACGACATAGTGTCTAGGAACGGTGAGATTTCACTGAAATCACCTCTTCTGTTCATAGATCAAGGTTTTGGATAGCACCCTGCTTGGACAGTCACCAATGATCCAGCTCAGTTTCAACCGCTCTTCAATAGTGTGAGATGGGTCTATTATGTTTGTTTACTCCGTTTGAAATCATAATCGATCGAAGGTCTTCCTAGGTTCATTTTAAAACCCCGCGACGGGATATGGTTTGCTATTTCCTTGAAGAGGACCACCCAGAGCAACCGTAGGATATCTGGCACCAATCGGGCAGGGCATATCGCACATACTCATGATGGGTGACTGGGATCGTTCGCTATCGGTGAAGCTTTATTCCTGCCTGGCAAACACGGGGCGATGATGCGTCATCGGAATCGCAGCCGCCGCGGTGCTATCAGTTCCACTCATGCTCTCTTCTATGGGAAGAGCGACAGCGACGTCTTCTGATCGACGGCAGTTATCATCTTCACATAATCGATCGCTGCCGAGCGATACAGTCTCATCACACCTCATTGTCTTGCTTTGGAAGCTTTGTTATTGTTTTGTCATCAAATTTTGTTCCGAAAATTGTTTTTCAGGCATGGTAGAATCGATGTACGAGGAAGTGCGCTATAGCGTGGAAGAGAAACGCGTGAACAATGGCCGGGTAAGCTAATTTCTTCTTAGTCTATTCTTCTCACAGAAGGATTTTCCTTGAAATTATTTCTTTTACGAGATTATCACTAGTCCCATAGGATTGGGATATGGGGGTCGACGAAACAGAACAAAACAGAGGGTAAGCCAGAACTATGAAGAGGTTGGTCGGAATATACCTTCAAGGCCTGACACCTTTGGAACATCGAAAATTTAGAATAATCACGATCAATAAGCTTATCTTCAGGTTACTTGGAACGGTGGTGCATTCTTCGCGAGGGTTTGACATCTAACTTTCGCCCCTTTTTTAAAACTTCCTTTTTTTTATCCACTATAGTAAATGCCCATGATGTTTGTCCGGGACTTGGCGCCCATCCAGTTGATTTCCCACTCACACTATCAAATATGCTAACGTGGTCGTTCTTCTGGTGCTTTATAACTATTTTATGATCGAATTGCTCGTATATCAATGGCACAGTTGGCGATGTTTCGGGGTGTCTAGTTTCAGATGAATAGGAAATGTGAAAGTCCATAGAGTAGTGCAAAAAGGTGAAGAGAGCGGAAAATTCGGCTAAGAAAAATAGAAGGCTTCACAAAAATAGTGAAGTCAAGGATTGGACGAGAATGTGACGACAAAAGTGCATGGGAAAGGTATAAGGGCGGAACATTCACCTATTTGGGGATGCAAGCGACAAATTGCGCGGCAGATAAACGCATCATTTCCTTAAATCGATCGAATCGATGTATTTATGAGGAGCATCAACTCCGGGCTTCGTCATTGTTCTGTCCACATGCTTTATGTCTTGATGACAAAATTCAGAATCGTCTAAATCGTCACTATTCACCGCGTGCATCTCAAAGCGGGGAAATGTTCCCATACATGAGGGGTATTTAGACGAGTTACTCTATTGTTTGTGCCATAGCGTGCAGCTGGCTACAGTAAGCAGCTTGCATGGGTCCCGGTGCGAACAGTGCACCTCTACATCCTCTACAACGCCGTGATAACTAGCCCATCTGGGGTGTGTACGTCAGCTTAGCCGCTTCTAGGGTCCCTTATTACGTCCTAACTGAGCCATTTTTCGACTCGGCAGCGTTCTTCGTGCTATTCTTGTGGGTCACAGGTTCATCCTAGGGAGCAATCATTTTTATCGTGAACTGCGCCTTTAAGGATACAGATAGCGATTATACATATTATACATCTTAATCGGGGACAGGGCGAAAGTGTTCATGCCAAATTGTGCATTGATGGCGAAGAAATTGGAGAAATCTGTTGAAGTCTTGAAGTACTTGGTCTATTTCGAACAAATCTTTTCTGAGGTTGGACGAGGCTCTAAAGAAGAGTATGTGCATGCTCGTTGAAAATTTAATCTTCGGATGCCGGATATGCTTCTAATAAAGAGAGCGAGCAGTTGAAGAAGTCCCCTCCACATCTTTTCGTAGATCTTTCTTCCAAAGGCAAATAAATCTATTTTCACTTTTGGACTACAGGGCGAAAGTATCTATGCACGATAGTTTACGTTAGCAAAGGAAACGAGAAAAGTAGCGGAATCCCGAAAAATGAGAATTTCTGAACTCACAACTTCTCTGATAGGACGACACTATGAAGACGAAGGGGGTATTTGGACGAGATTCCAGTCGTCAAATAACACCTTGTGCTAGTTACGTGTATTACCTGTCTGCATTCGTAACAAACATGCTCAATTTTGAATGATATCAGCCCCACTGGACTTTAAACGCCCTTTTTTCGGTAATTTGAAGTGGCAGTGGGTGGGAACCAGTTTTTCAGTCACCAGGACGGCAGATGATGCTGCATATGATAGAACCATAAAATGTTTTGCGCACTGAATCACCAACATCGTAGGCAAGAAGAGTGAAAGAGAGGATCTATTAAAGCCTCTGATTCATCGAAATCTCGCTTGCTATTGTCCACATCCTTCTAGGTTATGGAGGTTGGCTGGGCGTATTAGTTTCTGTGTTCTCATGCGGTTATGTGGATTCGATCCATCTTTGGACTATGATCCTGTACACCTTGCCCTCGGGAAACAACCGCCACTTACTCCAAGTCTAAGCAAGATAACATCTCTAGCTTCTCCCCGAATTCCCACGGCAAGCGGCAGTGGTCACGCGAAGTATACCCAACCCTTCCACTGGAAACTCGAACTTTTCCCTCCATAGAGCGCGGCTGCGCGCGATAGGGTGCGGCGAGCGCGACGTCGCTTTCGGGGAGAAGATACCGAGCCCCATCTCTAGAGCTCCTAGTTGAATACGCGCCCCTGATGACCTGATTTCGAGCA